CAACCTCAAATATCAACTAAGAAATTAATACCCACCCCTGGCCAAAAACGTTACAAAAGGATACCATTCAGTTGTCACACATATCTTTACCACTTCTGTGACATGAGTTTGACAACTGTTTTTCGTGTTGTCTGTACATGTATACTTTCTTTAATGACACCATTTGTCTCGGAAAACAAATCAACAAATCGGAAAATGATCACGACAGTGACTCCGATTGATTCATATACAATATGTGGTATTTTATGACTGTTGACATTGCTTTTTAGTCTCCAATATTTCAGTGAGTCATGCTTTGGAAATGACAATCACTTTTTATTACCCAACTCTTGAGTTGTTTTGTTTTTCATTCACCCAACCTTTTGCTCGCTCAAAACTTTGTTTACCCAACCCTTTTCTCTTCGATGCCACCCCGCCATAAATAGTTCCCGTTACAGTTTAATACTTAAAAAAGCGACGACTACTTATAATTTAGTTACTTGACATAGATATCATCTAAACCTAAATGCTAAACAATTGTTTAACCCAAATTCAAAACCATGCCACTGATCTCAAAACTGGGATTGGATAGAGCAATCTTTTGAATTCAGGGAATACTGAAGCCCGAATATGCACAATGAGGAGAAATTTTTAAATTTGTCACATTCCTTATGAATCAAATCGTTACGTGTTTAATTAAATTGGTTATATTATTAAGCAAATATCTTCTTCTACGTAATTCGAAAGATATAGCTTTGCACACCTGTTCCAATGAGTTTTCTATAACGAGATCCTTTTAAATACAAGATAGTGAAATTTGAGACGTCATATTGGTATGACTCGTTGATTGTTTACCGGCAAATTTCAGAAGAAACAGAGGCTACTAATTTCAGAAGAAACAGAGGCTACTAATAACCCATTTCTCTTTAGGCAACGCTTTTTCGAGACTTTAAAGGACATTGACAATAAAAAATTGGTTTAATTCATTTGAAAGAACTCTCAAATCTATATATTAAACTCTACTGCAGATTGTATATATCTTGCTTGGTTTTCAAAATATTTCGACTGAAAAAAGTGAGCTGTTACGTCAAGAGAGGGGTCACGCTATTTTTTATCTTGAGAATAAGCGATCAATATGGGTCCAAAACTTCCTTTCTGCAAAACATTTCAAACAATTTTGGATTGTTACTCGGTCATTTTAGAGTAGTTTTATATGGTTAACCCAAATCGTGACGTCATCAAAACCATAATTAATGAGGTCAAGAATTAGTCCAAGATGGCAGACAGCTCATTAATTTCGATCTAAATATTCAAGAACTAAGCAACATATGACAAATCGGTAATAGAGTTGAATATATAATTTTAAGAGTTCTTTCAAATGAGACAAACTAATATTTTATTGCCAATGATCTTTATAAATCTAACATGTCAGCAACACCACCGTAGATTTGCGGTAGTCAGACCAATTAGCCATTCCGAAGTTGATGAAAGGACTGGGGACGAGTGTTAAAAAGTGCCCAAATTAAGAAATGAACCAAATAACTAAAACAACCACCTCAAAATTAGTAAGTATACAAAGTTTGAAGACGTTTACATAAATACCCTTCGAATAATAAGCTTTCGAAAATTGTGAAATTACTGATTAAAAGATTGTTTTTGGGACGCGCGTCCCAAAAACAAAAATTGCAATACATTTCATAGTAAATGTCACGATTTTCGAAAGCATATTATTCAAAGGATATTCTTGTAAACGTTTTCAAACTTTGTATACTTACTAATTTTGAGGTGGTCTTTCTAGTTATTCGGTTCATTTCTTAATTTGGGCACTTTTTAACACTCGTCCGCAGTCTTCTCATTAACTTCGGAATGGCTAATTTGACCGCGATTGGCTTCATTTATGCATAGCATATGCTTTATACCCTCCTGGTTTTGAGATCAGTGAGTCGTACACCAGCTGGAGTTTCATTTCAACACCCATTCTCGTCGCCAGGATACTAGTTTTGGCCAAATATAAATATTGGCCACTTCCACAAAAATGAAATATACAGGCGAAAATTACTTTGTACAGTACCTTGTTTTCCACAATCTGCAATCGTGCCATTTGGAAACACAAACTCGGCAGAACAATGTCCGCAATAGTTCATACGACACGAGGCCTGGGGATAGGCAGGACAGCTGACATCATCATCACACATGTTACGTAGACACATAACCAGTGGTGCACCATTTGGGCAAACTGCAAGATTAAAGGTATTTTCTGGATTAAACCTAATTTTAACCCTTATAAACATCCTGTAATACGCTTAGTATCCTGGGCATATTCCATAAGCAGGGTATACTCCCAGAATGATCAGATAGAAAGCATTAAGCAACTTTGCATTGAGGCGGAAAATAAGGTAAAAATTCTCCAGCCCTCCATTACTTTTCTAATGATTGATCCACTGAGCTATACTATATTACTGGAGGACCTGCTCGGGATCAAAAAGTGTCGCCAAAAACATGGCGGATCTTACGCCATTTCCATGACAACACTTCCGAAATTTTCATGGTAACTGCCACTGACCAACCGCGATCCTAAGCTTCCGACGATGTCCTTAACCCCCCTGGTTTTTGCACAGAAATATTAAAGATATTTCAAGTTTTCTGTTGTTTTTGAGCTAAAAAATCTTAATATTTCCATCGCACATTACTTGTTTTACAACGCGGAGAAAGGAAATTCTTTCAGGTAAGATTCACGAAACTTTTTTTAACTTTCTAGGGAGTTGTATGATCATATATATCATTCATATGTCAAAAACGCATCATCCTATATATACAGCGAATATTTCAATAGCAGACATAAAAATATTGTTAATGATTAGATACTGTATGCATGAAATTATGTTGTTTTGTGTCAGCACTGGCCTTTGTGGTTTTATTGCCAGACTGCCAGTTTTTAATACTTGTAATTTATATTGTCAGTGGTTGTTTTTACATGTTTATATGGTGTGAAATTTTTATACTTGCCCATCATATAGTGCAGGATTAATATATGTATAGATAAGCACAAAACCACGAGATCAGTGAGATTTGAGTAGAGGAGGCCCACCTACATGTGGCAATATATGCCTGCATGTCCTGATGAGCCCTAAAGACTGTCTTTTTTGTTTTACACTGTCTGTCTAATGCCAGACGATTTTAAGGGGAGACTGCTCACTGCTGCCACTCAGTGGGTTAAATTATATACTATCTGCCAATGAGCAGCCCCTGAGATAGAGTCAGCAGCAATGTCCCAAAATGAACCCTACATTCTTATTTTAGTCAAAGGGAAGAGTCTTGGGGTAGAAAATAGGTACACACTTTGCCATTGTCTGTTCAGAACTACATACACAGTATGATGTGATAGTTACATGGCAAGAAAAAAAATGTTGCCCACAAGCTGTTGGGAATAAGTGAGTCACTATCGATGCACTAACCAGGTAAATTCAGAATGCTACAAGTACATTTCTATATAACATTGGAAGAGGTGATGTCTGATTGGTCTGTGAGAAACTATCATACTGATGAAATTTGCTAATAATTATAATAGAATTGCAT